CACAGAGAGCTGCGATTGGCCGGTTTCACTTCCTGGTTGATGAAGACAAGCGATGAAGACTCACTGCTGAGCTGCAGCTTCTTGCGGACGCCGGGCGTCCTCTGGGTGGCGCTGCGCCGCTTGGCGCTGAGGCATTTGGAGGCCGACAGTTTGGTGAGGGAGTGCAGCGACTCGGCCTCGGCGCCGGGCTTCCTGCTGCTCGCTGGCGTTGCCATGGCGCCACGCATCACAGCGGGGTCCGGGGCGGGGAGGCCGCGGCGGGCAGGGCCCCTGGGGCCCGGGGCCGCCGCGGGGGGCGAGCGGGGCGGGGAGAGAGGGATGGAGGGGTGGGAGGGACGGGGAGCGTCCAGCAGAGACGGGTCGACGGGTCGGAAGGTTCTGGAATCCCAGGACAGTTTGACGTAGAAAGTGTCTCCGTCCTCAGAGACGGGAAACGGAGCGGCGACATCCAGGTGCCTCACCTGCAGGGGGAGGGGCTTCAGAGGTCAAAAGGTCAACAACCAGATCACAGGATTTAAAACGACCGAAAATATAAAAATGATGAAAATAAAAATAACCTGATAGAGTCAAAGACTGGAGCGAAAAATGGAAATTTATTAAAACTATGCAAAATAATACAAATTATTATTATGTATTATTTATATTTATTAACTACATTATTTATTAGATAAATATATATATTATTAATACTTAAATTATTATTAATAGGAACAAATATAAATAGGAGATAAGAATTATAGAACTAACAAAATAGGAATAAATACATTTAATTAATTAAAATAAGAATTATGTAAATAATACAAATAATAAATACAAAGAATTAAATAATAGGAGAATGAAAAAGATTTAAAATACCAAAGAAATAAAAAATGCACCAACTCTCATTAAATGTTTTTGTATAAAGTGTATTTTTATCTAAGAAAACTATTTTTTATATTTGTCATGGAATTAATTTATTTAACAAGAGTCTGGATGGGAAGAAATAAGAAACGCAGACTGACCCTCCGTCTGTCGGTCTTCTCTGACTAACGGAGGGTCAGAGCGGAGAGGCCTGATTGGACAATAGGTGTGAATCCCTGATTGTTGGGTATCAGGGATTCTGTGGAGCCCAACACTGACGGTCTGGCATCTGACTAATGTTAAGGTCAGGAGGCTGGTCTCAGATCAGATCTACGTATGAACGGCCCCGTCTGTGAGAGCAGCTCGACCAATCTCATGATAAGATCACGCAGAAACAATCTAAAGCAGAAGAGGGGTGAGATTTTCCATTACATGTTCTATTTGCGACGGAAAATGATAAAATATTTAACAAAATAAAACAATAAAATGTGAAGCTTCAGAATCAGAAAAAACGTTTTTAATGAAAATAAGAAAAATAAAACATACAAACAGTCAGTTTGGTTTAACATAATCAACTATTCATTTAAAAATCTTTAAACAAAAAACTCGACTTTTTTAAAGTAATTTATCTGATTCTTCAGACATATTTGATCCATTTGTTTAATATTTGATTTTTAAAATTTGCTCTCAAATTGATGAATATATTTTGTAAATATGTTGGTAATAAGAGTTGAGTATTTTAAACATAACTTGCAGAATATAATCATCCACCAACTATTGAAATATCATTAATTTGAAGTTGAAGAATTGATTTATTGGATCTCTGTTGTTTTTCCTCTAATTATTTTTATGTTTGCACATATTTCCTGTTTTGTGTTTTAACTGTATCTTTACATTTAGTTGATTATGTTAAAGTAAATTTACATTTGAGAGAAAAGTTGATTATTTTTTCATTCAGACGTTTAGTTAAAGCCAACATGTGTTTTAGAGTGTAGCTGAACAGCGTTGGTCACCTGAACGGGTCGGAGGACGGACTCGGCGTTGACCTCGTCCTCACAGCTGCGACCTTCATAGAGGAAGACTTCCTGTGGGTGAGGGACTCTGCCCAGCAGCTGCAGTTTGCTCGGCGGCACTTCGGACACCCGGACGAACCACTGGACCACGGCCTTCTTCTGCACGCCGCTCTCTGGAACGGCAGCAGGTCAAAGGTCAGCTAGCTCTGATCCAGAGTCAGCTGGTTTAGTTTAAATCTGGTTCCTGGAACCGACCGTCTGCGAACAGCCGCAGAACTCTGGCGACGTACGGGTTGTCGTCATCATCGCCCTCAATCAGGATGTGCTGCCCGGCGCTGATGACGGTGGTCTGAGGGAGACCCTCCACCCTGATGGAGAGGGAGCTGGAGACGAAAAGGAAAACAGAAAAAACAGAAAAAAACAAAGGTTACACTGATAAAAATTATTTATAGTTGGTCAATATTATGGCCTGAAGAAGTTAGCTGTTTACACAGTGCTGCATTCAGATATATTCATGGAAAATTAAGTGGAAGGAAAAAAGAAAACAGGAAACAAATTAAAGTAAATGTGTTTCATTTAGAAAATCAAGGCCTCGTAGCCTCGAAGTGGAGAGGCTGAGAACCTAAAGCTGTCTGAGGTCCAGTTTGATGTTTCAGGAGAACCGAGTCATCGGCTGCTGTTTGGGTCCAACAGGTTGGATCAAGTCTGAACTCAGTGGACCCATCTGTAAGAAGATCTGCTTTCATTTTCCATCAGGACTTGACTCATAAATGTTGCCTTCATAATACTCAAGGCAGCAGTTATCCTTCCACACAACTTTCCAGCAGTATATTTGGACACAGCTTCCTGAAGAGTTTCTTTGGAGGCCTCCATTCCCTGTGAAGAGGCTCAGTAACTGTCTAATAATCTTAATTTTTCGGTCTCGTAATATTTAGCCATAATCACTGAAATTATTGAAATGCATGTATAGTTAATAAGCATAAAGTAAATAGTTGACATTAACAACTGAAATAAATCAACTTTTCATGGCATCTTAATCTCCTAAAAAGATGCAAAGATGTATTTTATTGCTACCAGGTGATAAAATCGCCCAGAAGTCAGATAAAAGCGGTTATTAAACGCGCTGCTCGGTTCTTCTCACCCATATTCAGAAGTTTTTAGTTTTCTGTTGAAGCCGATTGGAGCTCCGCGCCATTCATAGATCCGTTTGACTCTCAGCCTGGTAAAATACTTCATCCTGTCGGTCCTGCTGGCGGCTCGGAACCGGAGCGGGAAGATTAAAACCGTCCTTCTGCTCGGTCCGGGAGGAAACCTGGACTCTCCCTGTACTTTTATTAAAAACCAGCTTCAGTTAGAGGCTCGGGGGAAGTGAGGTGAAACGTAACAGAAGTTCGCGGGAAAATATTCCAGCCGCTCGGTTTTAAACAGCGCCCCTATCGGAGAGCGCATGCGTCTACTCCCATAATGCAGAGGCTTTAGCGGAGGAGTCACGTGATCATTCTGCGTTCCGAACAACACCTAAAAGGTTCCTGCCACTCTTCCGCCAGAGTGACAGGAAAATGAGTAGACCTCGTACTTTTTCTTTGATTTTCTCCATTGTCTCCTTTTGTTTTTGTTTTTATTATAACTTTTGGTGATTTATTTATTTAATTTTTAAATCTGAACATGTAAAATTGTCTTAATTAACAGAGGTGGGTAAACTAGGCAAAATATGAACTCAAGTAGAGTATCAGTATTCATACGGAAAATGATTTTTCTGAACGGGATCTGATTAGGATATGTCCTTACTTTCAGATCAAAGTCAATAATATGAGAAAAAAAAATCAGATTTTTTTTCACTGGCCCTAATCCTCTTCTTATTACTCGATCAGTCCCATGAATCCTTCTGTGATGTTTAACTAAACCACCAGGAAACGGAAAAGCCTGGTTCCCAAATAGTGACACATTAATTAAATCTCCCTTTTTGTCTCTTGCGTTCAGCACAAAGATGCAATAGTTATATTTTCGCAGGGCCAGCCCAAAGCAGTTTGAGGCCTTGAGCAGAATATGATTTAGGGGCCCCTCTTTATGAATTTCATTACAGATTTGGTGGAATCTGGGAAAGGGGGCCAAGTTTAACTGGCCAAGCTTAAAAGTGATCAGTGATCATTTGATATTAGAGCAGTCCAAAGCTCAAACACAAAAATTAAACTCATAGCATCAAATTGTAACCATGGTAACACACAAATCAAACTACAAACATTATCTTTTGCACTTTTACACAGTTGACTTGTCAATAAAGATGTTAAAAATTTTGAAATCTTGTAATTTATCTCTGTTTTTATCTCTTTTTTGCATAGATTGTGTGATGTTGTGTTCAGGTGACATTATCATTAGATATATATTTTCCAGTTTGGGAAGGCAGAGCATCTTCAGTCAGAGGTTTCTTTGGATTCACTGCAATACAGACATCTGCAGGAGATCTCTTTTCCCAACAGCCATCACCATCTTCAATAACTCTGAAGAATCTAAATCAATGAGTTACGCCAACATTTAATTTTCCTTTGGAATTCATTTTTGAATTTGTATTTTGAGATTCTTGTTGTGTACAAATGTTTGGTTGCTAAAGAATCAATAAAATGAGACAGTGTAAAAAATTCAGGAGGCATCAAGTTTTCTTCCAAAAATCCAAAGTCTTATTAAGAAGCAAGTTTTCACCTGGCAGCTCTGTGTTTCCTTTACAAGTATTACATTTTAAAAAATATATTTTAGACACATTTAATTATGCACAATGTTTCTTGTGTATTTTCGCCATGTTTTCTACTTGTTTTTTTGTTTGTTTGTTTTTTTGTCACTGTTACCATAATTACTGTTGTGCATTTTGTTGTTTAATTTTACAACCGCCCGCAGTTCATTGGGAGCTATTTGCTCTGCAGTTTGTTTAGGTTATTTTGTGTATTTTATTTATTTCTCTCTTAGAATAAATTCAGTGAACCACTTCACCAACTGGACTGGAGCAGAACTACTCAAGACTCCAGCAGAGAATCAGTAGATAACCACTCTACTGATTCACCAGTTTACTGGAGAATCACGTGACATACGGCGTTGCCTTATTCCGCTGCAACGCGGCGGAATAACGCCGCGGAACCTACATCCACGGGCAGTGAGTGCTGTGCAGTCAGTATTCATCCGCCGGCCATCTTTCCACCTCGTCTGCTGTCAGGACCTTTGTTGGAATAACTGACGACATAAAGTTTATTTCATCTAGAGGAGCGCATTAAGTGTTGGCAACACCGACTATGTATTTTTATCTGGAGACAATGGAGGATTTGGACCGAATTATGCGCTTCATTTTGGGTTTTGTCGACCAGAACATTTCTGACGACAGAAGCAACGGGAGGCGGGGCTTCTTTGCTGGCTTCCCCGACTCCCACTGCTTATATTATTCTGATCAGGACAGGACAGCTTTATTACCGATACTAACCTGACGCTGGTCCGCAACTATCACAGTGAGTTACTGTTTTATTCCAGTTGAATTAGATACTAATCATAATATTGACAAAAATCTCTTATTATTCGGTGCAGATCATGCTAAGAACGCCGCACACTTTATTCATTGTGCAAATCGGTTCTTATTTAGCAAAAAAAAAAAAAAAAAAAAAAAAAAAAGGTTTTGTTGTTGAATAAGTATTAAAAATGTATCGGGTCATTCCACAAACGCCGTTAAAAAATCGCAATCAAAACATGTGGTGATTTACTTTGTACGGTGGGGAGTTAAGTCGATCAGTGAAATCCAAGGCTGGGGAAACACCCCCAAGAAATAACTGCAGAAATCCCGAAGCTTAGCGGGGGCCACCAAGATTTATTAACTGCGATTTATTAACTGTCACAGAAAGGGACGCTACTTTTTATTATTATTGCATCAAAATATCAAAACAATGTGCAGAATATGGAAGAAACCGTAATTAATGGGAGGCTCGGTGGCTGCCACTGCTTCAGCAGTGGAAGTGCCATTACTCGGTCCTGCTCTACTGTTACAAACTTAAGAACTTCGTCACTATATTTAGCGATTTTTTAAAAAGCGATTAGCAACCAATGTAACGACTTTTTAATGGACTATTGGAGAAACTTTGGGGGCAACATGTGATAGTACCATAGCAGTTACAGCGAGCAGTGAGAGCTGTCATGAGTCCCTCCCACCTGTGCAACACTTTTGAGCTGTACAGTCCCGCTGCCCTCGTCGCGAACTGGGAGTCTGAGCAGGGCTGTCTGGCTTTCTGGATGGCATTTTTAAAACACCCCTCTAGAGGAATGTGATTACACGTAACGAGTGTTTAATCACGCATGTGCAAAGTTGCAGGTGATTTCGCTTTTGATTAAATAAATATAATTGTTCAAGTTAACTTATGTTTTTGTAAGCGAAACTATCGCACTATTGTCTGCATTTGATTCACACAGCCTCGGTCAATTCTAATAACGGTCTCTTAGTTAACTTTGATATTATATTTGCTGTACTCAGAACATTTGACTATGTGTAGCTAAACAGCGAGCGAACAACCATTAAAAAGTTCCCACATGAGGTTTTCTCAAGTGAAGAGAAAAACGCATTAGGGCCTGCAGTGAAAGTGTATGCGTCGGTCTCGTTTTTGTCACCGGTAACGCTCCATAACACACTCATCTTAATGCAGAACTCAAAACGTATTTTGTAATTGGAATATAGCAGAAAGAAAAATTCATTTCTAGCTAAAACACCCATCACTCCTAACTGGCAAACTTTTTTTTCTTTTTTACAAAGGTACCAGAGAAATATCCGTCAAAGCTAGTTTATTGCCAAGAGCGCACACTCCGTCATGTTTCTGAAAACACAATATGACAAAGATCGTTTGTAACACGGAGACCACACAGATCGCAAAACTCGGTCTTGGGATCTGCATCATAACAGTTGCAGCTGGTGTAATGTGCGTTTATGATATTTTATATGAACTCTAAATCAGATTTAGGTGTTTCTATCCTTGTTTAAAAGCAGAACAGTTACTGGACTTCACTGAATGGCTGAAGTTTTACCTTTACTTTGTATTTTTATTTGTTTTGCAGAGATCAGACATGACGTGCGAAAAAAAGTTTTACAGTCTGCTGGTTGTAGTTGTGGTTTTGGATCTGGTTTCAGGCCTCAGCCTGGTCACCAGCAGCTCCCAGAATCTTGAGAGCAAGGTGAGCACACACCTTCAGATCCTACAGAACCACACA